ATGAAAATAAAAAAGAATTACATGTGTATTAATTTGTAACTAACTAGAATCTAAGGCAATAACAAAATAACAAAATAACTACTCCTAATACCCCCTCAAGTTGGAGCGTGTATATTGACAAGACCCAACTTGGAAATGTTCACTAAGAAGAGCTTAGGAAGCAAAGCCTTAGTTAGAAGAACTCACATGAAAAAGGTGGATGAGACCAGTTTGAAGCTTTTCCCTAACAAAATGACAATCCACTTCAATGTGTTTCGTCCTCTCGTGAAAAGTAGGATTCTTAGTTATGTGAATGGCAGATTCAATATCACAATATGTGCTGAAAGAAGTAGAAACATGAACATTGAGATTAGCACACAAAAATTGAATCCATTGTTGCCCTCGAGTAAGAGAAGCTAAGGCTCTATATTCAGCCTTGGAAGAAGAGCAGGAGATGGTGGTTTGCTTCTTAGACTTCCATGAAATCAAGGCAGGACCAAAGAAAACACAGAAACCTGAAACTGACTTCCTCATATTGCTTGAACCAGCCCAATCAGAGTCTGAGAAGGTAGTGATTCAAAAATCAGTTTGAGAAGGATAAAACAAACCAAGTCCAGGGGATCCTTTGAGATATTTTATGATTCTCAAAGTTGCATGCCAGTGATCAGTATGCAGAGCAGAGACAAACTGACTAAGTTGCTGAACCGCAAATGCAATATCAGGTCTAGTATTAGTCAGATAGAGTAATTGTCTAACAAGGAGCCTATAAGAAGTGGGATCATCAAATAGTTCCCCTGAAGTAGAAAGCAATTTTGTCGAAGAATTCATAGGAGTAGTGATTGGTTTACAACCAGTAAGACCACATTCAGTAATTAGATCAAGACAATACTTCCGTTGATTGCATGAGCAGATCTAGCAACCTCTAAGTCAAGAAAAAATTTCAGATTGCCCAAATCTTTAATCCTGAAGAACTGATTAAGATGAATTTTGACAACATCAATTTCATGTAAATCATTGCCAGATAATACTATGTCATCAATATAGACTAATAAGGCAGTAAATGAAGTATTTCTCCTCTTAACAAATAATAAATGATCAGCGAAACTCTGTATATACCCCAGCTGAATAAGGGCAGATGTTAACTTGTGATTCCACTGGCGCCCAGCGATTTATTCAACTTACAAACTGTATGAGCTATAGGGGCAACTAATCCTGGAGGTAACCGCATGTAAACTTTCTTCAGTAAGATCGCAATTCAAAAAAGCATTATGTACATCAAGTTGATGTAAATACCAACCATGAGCTGCTGCTAAAGCCAATAAAAATCTAACAGTAGTAATTTTTGCAACAGGTGCAAAAGTTTCAAAGTAGTTTATCCTTTCAGTTTGATTAAACCCTTAAGCAACCAATTGGGCTTTATACCGCTCTATAGAACCATCTTGCTTAAATTTGATTTTATAGACCCACTTACACCCAATAGGGTGCTTTCCTGAGGTAAATCAACCAAAGACCATGTATGATTCTCCTCTAATGCGTTTAATTCATCACTCATAGCCTGTTTCCAGCAATATAACTTTGCAGCTTCATGATAACTTTTTGGGTCAATATGTGAGGAAATAGAATGACAAAAAGAAGTATGAGTGGATGAACAATTTGAATATGACAAAAAAGAAGATAAGGGATAGAGACACTTTGAATTGGATTGACCAGTTGAATTAGAGGAATGATTTCAACAAAAATAATCCTGTAAATATGCAGGGGTTTTTCTTACTCGAGAAGAAGTCCAAATGTTAGGATCATGATTTGCACTTGATTGTTCAGTAGATACATCATTGTCAGTATTTGCAGAATGACTAGGGGATGGAGTAATATCATTATGTGACTGTTGTAATTAAGTAGGACGGATTAAAATATCATCATAGATGCTTGGTTCGAAAATAGGCCCATGTGTAGTTTTGAAATTCGAGTTATTATCAATAACATATGTATGAAAAGGAAAATGTGTTTCACAGAACACAACATTTCTAGAAATCATAGTGTTTCTGGTGTGTAAGTCATATAACAAATAACCTTTTGTCCTCTCTTTATGACCAAGATAAACGCATTTTGTTGACCTGGGATCCAGCTTTGTCCTCCCAGAGACCAAACTTCTTGCATAAGCCTAACAACCAAAAATTTTGAAATTGAAAAGATCTGGTTTAGTCTTATATAACATTTCAAAAGGGAATTTTTGAGCCAAAAGGGGTGTTGGTAGCCTGTTTATTATATGAACAACATGTTTGAAAGCAAATGACCAGAATTTGTGTGGTAAATTTGCTTGAAAAATAAGAGCTCTACCAACATTTAATATATGTTAGTGTTTTCGTTCTACCACCCCATTTTGTTGGGTGTTTCAACACAAGTAGTCTCATATCTTAAGAAATAATCATTCATTAAAAACTCTTTTCCATTGTCAGTTCGAATTCTCCTTAACTTGGTATCAAATTGATTTTTCATAGTTATGATAAAAGTTTACAGTAAATACCTCGTTTCACTTTTCTATTTCATTAAATGGATCCAAGTATACCTAGTATAGTCATCAACTAATGTTAAAAAAAATTTGTAACCTTGTATAGAAGGAGTTTGCAAAGGACCCCAAATGTCTACGTGAATGAGATAAAAAAATTTGGTTGTTTGAGTTAAACTAGTTGAGTAGGGTAGCTTGCGTTGTCTAGCAAGGTGACAGATATCACAATCATGAAAATTACCATTTAAAATGTAATCATATTGAGATATTATTTGTTGCATAACTTTATTTGAAACATGACCAAGTCTATGATACCATATCAGGGCATTAGGTGAACAATCCAGTGAAATCATGTCCCTTGGAGGCTTCAGATAATAGAGACCATTCCTTTTATTAGCTGTACCAATCCTCTTCTGAATAATATGACATATAGAATGATCAAACAAGACAACACAATCAAGAGAAATGGTTAACTTGGAGATATAAATTAAATGTACTTTATATTCAGGCATGTATAGAACATCTTGTAAACTGATGTTATCTAATTTTACACGACCAGAAAAATTGGCTTGCAGAGAGTTATTATTTGGTAGTTTAACGGAAATAGGAGTAATTTGTTTTAAAGACATGAATAAAAATTTAGTAGGACATATATGATCTGTTGCTCCTATATCCAAAATTCAGTAGGTATAGGACATACTTGAACAATAGGTATTTACTTGAGATCTTTGCACACGATTAGCAAAATGTGCAGTTACAGATTTGGATTGTTGTAGCAGGGATATGAGGTCTTCATATTGTTCTCCTGTGAATGAGAATCCAGTGTTATCATACTTTGGTTTTTCTACCTCAGAGTTTGCACCTTCTTGAAATGCACTTGAATCTAGTCTAACCAAATTTGCAGCAGAATTTCCAGTGAAGGGAGGATTGTTCTTGAACTTATATCCTGGTGGAAATCCATGTTTATAGAAACACGATTCCACAGTGTGATTTGTTCTATTACAAAAGGTACACAACTTATTTGATCTACCACCATTCCTTCCAAATCTTCCACCAGAACCTCTTCCAAATCCTCTTCCTCCTCCACCTTTATGAGAATTATTTTGTCTCTGTCGATTTTCATTATTTACAGTTGTGTTAAAGGCATCAATTTCGCTATTCTTCTCAGTCAAAAGAGGTGCACCAAACTCTCTCTCCTGCTGAGCAACTAATGAAAATACCTTTGTTATCGAAGGCATATTTTCCATTAACATCAACTGTGACCTAACTTGTGAGAATTGTTCATTTAATCCTCTGAGAAATCTAATCACATAAGCATTATCTCTTTCTTTCTTGATATTGGATAGAACTCCACAGGTACATGGAATCGAACATGAACATACTGGAGCAGGTTTGAAAGTTTCTAATTCCTCCCAAATTATCTTCAATTTCGTATAGTATTCAAACACAGAGTATTCACCTTGTTTGCAACTATATAGTTCTTCTTGTAAGTCAGCAATTCAAAATTTGTCTCCACGAGAGAATCGATCCTTTAAGTCTTTCCAAATTTCATCAGCTTTATCCATCCACATAGTTGATTGAGCAATTGTATGAGTCATCGATCTTTGAAGCCATGCAACGACCATTGTATTGCATCGCTCCCAAACCGAATACATTGGATCGGTTTTTGCTGGTGAAGATAAGCTTCCATCAATAAACCCGAGTTTATTCTTTGATAACAAAGCCATTCGTATAGATCTACTCCATGCATGATAATTTTTCTCATCTAATTGAGGATCAGCAAGAACCAATGCTGGATTTTCACTGGTATGAAGATAATATGGATTGGAAGGATTCGAAAGATAATCTTGATATTGATTCGCCATTGTGATAAGAAAAGAATTGATGAATAGAGAGATGAAGAAGAAGAAGTATCGTTCTGCGAAAGCTGCGATGGACCAGAGCTTATTGCTTTGATACCATCATAGGAGAGAAGCTTGCAGAGAGATTTGAACAATTCATGTTTATCAAAAGAGTGAATGAATTACCAAGCTTACCGAAAGAATACTCTACAAAGGCTTTTATACAGCTAAAAATGAAATAAAATGCAAGACAAACAAAAATAAAAAAGAATTACATGTGTATTAATTTCTAACTAACTAGAATCTAAGGCAATAACAGAATAACAGTATAACTACTCCTAATAGTATAAGAGAAAAATATTAATTTAAGAGAAAAAGAATAAAAATGTTGTAACTTTTACAGATTTTAATAAATTTTAATTAATAACAAAAAGTGTGTTAGAAAATAAATTGGTAACATTACTCTAAACTAATTAGAATACATAAGCAAGCCAATTTAAGAAAAAAAAGGAAGAATATTTTCATGGTTACAATTTTGCACATATCATCTTGCTATAACAACAACACAGGATTGATTGTGCACAAACATAATCAACAAAAAAAAAATAGATAATGTGACAAGTCTAGCTCGGTTTATTTTCATATGGATGTACGCATTCAAATTTTTATCAACTTCAATTGTGATGCTCAACTCTCAAGGTATTTAAGTAAGACTTTCCTTCAAGTTTTTGAGCAAATAAACCCTTAAAGTATTCCTCAGTTCTGATTCTTTTGAACCGTGCTGGTGTTTCTTCAGTGATTAAGCTAGCCAAAGGACCCACCACAACATCTAGTTTGGTGCTGTGGAATGTTGCAATTGAAAGCCTTTCTTTTTCAGAGTTCACTGTTGCTCTGTGCTCCACACTTCGGTATATCCCATTGGTTATAATCTGTCATATAACGAATACTTTTGCTCTTAGCCTTTGAATTTACTAACAATCGTATAACATGATATAGTGATCTATTCAATTATGTAACCAAGTGTTAAACTCTCACATTTAATGATTATTGATAACTAAATTGAAGCAAACTATGCAGCAATCACTGATAAGCACCACAACATAACTATAATAATGCAAGTCGAGTTTCAAGAGAGTTATTGTTAAACAAATTGGTATCATAGAAATGCCTATGATGAATGGTCATATATTTACCTCAAGTATCTCACCAACGTTTACAATGAAAGCATTAGGCAGGGGCTTAATAGGAACCCACATGCCATCTTTCTTTATTTGGAGTCCTTCTACTTCGTTGACTTGCAGAAGGATAGTGAGACCAACTCCATCTGAATGAGGAGTGATGCCAATAACCTTCTCTGGCTGTGGACATGGTGGGTAATAGTTCATCCTCATTGACTGTCTCCCATCTTCAAATAACTTTAACATTTCCATTTCTTTCATCTTTAGAGCCTTTGCCATTTGGGCAACAATAACCAAGGATAAGTTTTTCAGTTCTTGTGAGTAAAGTTCTAAGGTGTCTCTGCAAGGACAAAGAGCAGTGACTATGCTTGCAAGCTTTTTGAAATGTTAAGATGTAAACACAGACACACAGAAAGAATGAAAACCTGAGAGGAAGAGGGAGCTGTGAAAATAAGTGGGGCATTCTCAATTGTTTTGGAAATGTGGTCATATAGAACACATCACCCCAATCAAGTTTTTGGTCTTCATTCACAACAAATACTTGTCCAAACCCCTCCATATGCTGTGGACTCTGCCAAAACTTTCTCTTCTCTGACATTGGAAGGTTGAAAAAATCCTCAATCTCCAACTTTACGTTGTCCAACAAAGAACAGCTAACTCCGTGATTTACTAGCTACAAGAAGAATGTACAATTTATTAATATAACCTGAAAATAACTTATTTTGATAAGTTATACGGAAAAACTTATTAAAATAAAGTAAAAGGAAATTTTAGGGATTGTGAATTTTCATAACTCTTTCGTTCGAGCTCTAAATCCATTGATAATTCAAATTAAACATATATTTACCACGCTCAAGTGATTTTCTCATGTATAACTAAAATTTCTAAGTCCTTTTACCCCTTTTCTCCTTTGATATTAAGCTTTGAGAAATTGAAGGATACAAAGTGGAATAAAGAATCAAAATGCGAACTTTCTCTTCTCAGACATTGGGAGGTTGAAGAAATCCTCAATCTCCAATTTCACTTTGTCCAGCAAAAAAGAGCTAATTCCATGATCTACTAGCTACAAGATGAATATACAAATAAAGATGTGATTAGATGCATAACTTAATTCATATTTGTTTTAAAAAAATTATGACATGCTGTAAATTTAGTCATAAAAATTACTAGAATAAGATTAAAAACAATTTATTTTGATAAAATATAAAAAAAAAAACTTATTAAAATAAGATAAAATATTTCTAAAAATCATAAATTATTTTCACAAGTTGTCAATAAAATTTTTAAAACGGATCCTAAGTCAGTTGATAATTCCAATTAAGCATATATTTACAGTGCTGAAGTGATTTTGCCATGTATAAAGTTTCTAAATCCCTTTTCCCTTTTGAGTGATTTATATTTCGCTTGCTCTAAAGTCAAGAAAACAACTGATCCATATGTTATTCAAGCTTTAAGAAGTTGAACCATAAAAAAAGGAAAAAGAATCAAAATAAACCTGGAAGAATCCCCATTCTTGGCAAGCAAGGTGAAGTTTGGTCAATTCAGAACTAGCAGTTTCTATAGAAAGCAAGCTCTGCATGTCAATTACTGGAATCTGAAGGCTACTATTAACTTCTTCAGAGATGGCCACCATGTTTTCATATTGAGGCTGAATGTATCTTTGTGGAACCTTCGATATATTTTCTTTAGCCAATTCTTGAACTGAAGGCACCAAGAGAGAAGTCCCAAGTGGCTTTGCGATCTCTTCCATGGCCTTTGGCTAAGACGCTGAGGTCTTTGCTCTCTGTTATTCTATTCAATATAACAATCAAATTCAAAATAGTCCAAGTCTATCCATCTTTCGCTCACACCAAGACCAAACATATAAGTGACGATTTATTACATTATTCCCAATGTCTTATGTATTGACATTTACTATTGATTAAACAAATGAAACTTGTCTAATATAATATCGATTCAAATAGCTTTTCCAATATACTATAATTGATGTATGGATGATTTCCTTTCTTTTGCCCATAAACTCCACTTTACTGCTGTACCTCACCAAAACATGTTACATTATTCCCAAAGTCTTCTGTATGTTTAATATTTGATTAAGCAAATGATACGTGTCAAAATAATATAGATTCAATTAACTTGTCCAATTATTTTATATATATATATATATGTGTATGTAAGTACGTACGTATATAATAATTGTTCTTCAACCTTGTATTTTCTTATTTCACTCATCTTTATCTATGAACTTTGGTGTATTTTTTTTCCTCTTTACTTCTAAATATATTCCATTCAGTTAGCAACGTTCATGTTTGTACGTGTGTTCCTAATCCGGTGATTAGATTCATGGTGTGTTCTCTTGTGCTCGTACGTACGAGGGGGCAGTGATGTCATGCATCTGTAGTAAGTTTTCATGATACTAACCTTGGTTATTAAGTAGTCCATGTATAAAACGACTGTAGAATTGATTTCCTTCCAATAGATAGGAAAATGATATCGAAAATACATAGGAAAAAGGACCAATGAATAAAATTCATAGTCAGATCTTAGATAGATCACTTTGGGAGTAAATATGAAATCACCACATGCTTCTGGGAATAAACTCGTCCTTATTTTTGGTACATTTCACTCGCTTACTTCTTTTGAGTCATTTGTTACCCCAAATGTATTTCAACATCCACTGATCTGTTTGCAATACTGTGCACCAAATCCACAGGCACCGTCCCCCCCTTGCTGTCACCTTCATGACGCGCAGCAGCACATCTCGCAATATTGCCGATGACGACCTAATCTTCAACCTCATCAAGATGGCAAAGTATTTTGGCAACGATAGCATGAGGTTCACATGTACAACAAGCTGTGGTCGCTCCTCATGAGGATGTAATGGTGGCAAACTGCAAGGAAGAACCCAATGGCAAAGGCGTGGTCATTCACGACGCCAATGGTCGGCATGGGGAGCGACATGAGCAGCAACAGGCTTCAAGGACCCAACCATAGATCTCTAGAATTATTTTTGCTGAAATTTTTATGGCTTAGGGTTAATGTCAATGAAAAATGAAAATTTACCATAGCCACCGGTACGGTTGAGTTCCATTAAAACCTACAATTTTTTTTTGTTAAAAGAATTAACCTTTTAAATTAATAATATAAATTATGCAGAAATATTTTGCAAGAGTTAAATATATTTTTAATTTCTATAAAAAAATATTTAATTTAGAATTCATATATGTCACTAACTTCTTATAACTGGTCAACATAAAAATACATTACTTTTCTTTCAAATGAGGAGTATCTTTGATATAATCTTTTAATCGGTAGTCTAAAAATTCTTATATCTAATTTAAACTTTTCATTTAACTTAAATTTAATGACTAATAAAGTAATAAATTATAAACTTAGTGTAAAAATATTTTTCTCATATATATATATATATATATATATAAAAACTACTAAAACATAGTATTTTAAAAAAATTATAAAAATATAAAAATTAATGGCAAGTTTTGACTAAATATTTTATTATTTTTTTAAAGTTTTGATGAATTTTAATTATTTAAAATTTTTGTATATTTTTAAAAATTCATTGTTGACGAAATTTTGGGACTTTTAATTTTTGTTGTTGTTCCATTTCTAAATTTGTGCACTTACACAAAACATCGCTATTAACAATATTTGAATTTTATTTTTTAATTTTTTTAAAAGTACTATAAAATATATTATTTTAAAATATCATATATATATATATATATATATAAAAAGAGAAAACACCTATTTTTATTTGAGTTTAAAGAAAATTTAAAAGTAAAAAAGGTAAAAATAATTAATGAAAAATAAAAAATGATTCCATTATTCTAGCATGCATTGTATTATAAATAATTAGCTTCCATACTTTCATTACAAAGGTTTTAAATCTTAATAAAAGGAATGGAATTTTGATATAAAAAGGTATATTTAGTCTGATACATTTTTTCCATTTCTCTTTCGTAAATATTTGGTAAAGAGAAAATTATATTTTCACATTTTTAATTATAAAATTTATTTTGTTTTTTTTGTTATGATTTATATAAAAAAGTAAAAACAATATTAATTTCTAAAAAATAGTTTTTAAAACGAAACAATCCCTAAACTATATACATCTTTACAACTAATTAAAATATCACTAATTAGTTAGCTACATGATTTGTTTCTGTCTGTGTTTGAGAAATTATGACACTCCAATTACGATTCTTCATGTGATGGATAGGGTAACAAGAGCTGAACAATGGTGAGAAGCCTCACATCTATTCTCCACTAAGTGAATATATACCAACCTTAGAGTCACACTCAATATTCATAAATTATACAAACTTTTTTCCTAGGCTAAAAATAACTCAGATAAAACCACACTAGAACCTCCAAGATTTCTCACAATCCTCGAATCGATCTTAAAAGTTTTCTTTTTCTCCGCACACCCATTTTTAAATATTAGATTCTCGAGGTGAGAACAGATCACCAAATTAAGAAAATTAACTTGAGCAAATAATGGTCTCATCTTTGGAATCATTTTACTTGAAATAACTAATTAGGTAGTATTGGAGCATTAATTTGGGATTACTAACTACAAACGTAATAAAAATGAAAATGTGAACAGGCTAGTTGGCTCTTAATTTTATTAATTTTCATTACGGAATACAACAAGTTTTTAACATGTTCTAAATAACAACGCATGTATAGTCTACAATCTTAAAGTAATTTTAGAGTAATCGTGTGCTGCACACTTCCACAAGAACTTATTTAGGTCATTAGATGACATTATGATGCTATCATAACTTTTTTATTGTGCACATATACCACTTATAATTAGTGCAAATATCTTTAATTTTCTTAATTCTAATTACTTCAGTTTTGATGCTTTATTCTCATGACATCTCTGTGAGACTTCCCTTCAAGTTTACGAGCAAAGAAGTCCTTAAAGTACTGTTTTGTTCCTATGCTTTTGAATTGTGCTGGTGTTTGTTTAGTGATCAAGCTTGGCAAAGGACCTATCAAAACATCTTGTCTTGGGCTGTAAAATGTTGCAATTGAAAGTCTTTCCATTTCAGAGTTCACTGTTGCTCGGTGTTCAATACTCCGATATATCCCGTTAGTCATAATCTGTCATTTAAAACATATACAAATAAAACTAACAATAAAATGTCATAACGATAAACCACATCAAAATTCATTTATAGTGAATTTCCTTAAAATCTTTTATAATAATTATTTATTTGACTTAAAGTTCATTTTGGATAAAATTATATGCAAATATTTGTAAGAGAAAAAAAAATTGTTTAGAGAAAGGAAAATTTTTCTAAGTTATAAAGACCTTATCAAACTAAGGGTCCTAAACTCCCACACTGACAAATCAAAGACTTGAAAAATTATTTAAGTCCTAAATTCTTCTTGAAGATTCCACTCTTCGAAGAGTTTTAGGAGTATTTAGAAATTAATTTTTTCCATACTGAAAAAACTACATTTCGAGGAGTTTTAGAAGGTCAGAGAAGGAGCCTCATTTTTTATTGAAAAGTAGGTCCAAACTCAAGAACAGTTGGAAGGTTTTTTAGAAGAACCTTAATTTCTGTCGAAAAGGTCACATTTTGAATTATTTTAGATGTTTTTGTCACACCCCAGAGTTTTCTCAAAATTGTTTGAAAGACATGATAGTAGTAGAAAATTATTTTAAGTCCACAAGACAAAAGGCCTTTTTGAAGAGTTTCTAAGATTTTATAGTCCATACACTAAGAATAGCTAAAATTGGTCAAAAAATAAGTTTGACAAGAAGATTATTCTAAGTCCACATGACTGAAGGTCTTTCGAGAAGTTTTTAAGGGTGTTAAAGTTTTTGACACACAGAATTGCTCAAAACACAGGAAGTGGTCAGAAAATATTCTAATTTTACAAACTTAATTGAACTCCAGATCTTCTCTAGAATTGCTCGAAAAACAAGAACGAACAAAGGAAATATTCCAAGTCCACGAGACCAAAAAGAGCTCTCAGATTCCCAAAAAGTCAAAAAATAAAAATTTAGGGAGAAATTATTCTAAGTTCATAATGCTAAATGAGCCTATTAGATTTCTTTCAGAATCGCTCAAAAAATAGAAAACAAAAAGAAAAGATTCTAAGTTCATAAGAGTCACTCAAAAGTTATTACAAGGCTCAGAAGTAGTTACCAGCAGTTACCAACAGTTACTACCAGACAAATGTTCAACAACACTAAGAAGAATTGTGGACAATAGCAGTTATGAAAGAAACTACAACTGACAGCACAATCAGAGCCAATCGTGGATAATGGACAGCAGTTAAAGGCAGTTACTGAGAAGTATTCATGAAAAAAGAAGAACACTGGTGGTTTCTGTAACACCCCAAATTTTTGTAATAATATTTTGATATATTAATATAAGTGTATATGTGAATTTTTATGTGTTTGTATGTTTGATTTATGTATATGGTGATGTGTATATGTGTGTAATAACGTACATGTATGAATATGTGAATAGGTCCATATAGTGTGGTTGAAATGTGTGTAGACTGTAACTGGGCTAGAATTGATTGAATATATATATATATATATATATATATATATATATATACATATATAAAAAAGCTAAGTGTGGGTGCTGCAGGGTATTCTCGCTGTAGCGAGAAGGCACGAGGAGAGAGGGGTGAAACTGTTGCTTTCTCACTGCAGCGAAAGTTCTCTCGTTGCAGCGAGGGGGCGACAGTGGAAGGTGCAGTCTCGCCGTAGCAAGATTCTGCAAAAACTAGAATGCAATTTCTTCTGAGATTTTTGCTGTAGTGAGAGAATGTGTCGTTGTAGTGAGGTCCCCTCGCTAAAGCGAGAATGTCGCAACTAGACGGGTATTTGAGAGGTTTAGGGTTTGGGAAAATCATTTTTCCACTTCTCCCTTCGAGTTCTCTCTCATTTCTCTCGATTCATAAGTCATTCTTACCAATTAAATTGCCTCCAAAGCCGTTTGGGAGTAAGATTGAAAGTTAAAAATGAGTTTGGGGCGTTTAGAGGTGAGTTTGTGAGATAGGGTTTTTGGATTTCATCCCCTTTTCTTTGATCTCTTGGTTTCTTATGGGATTTTTCTATATTTAGGATGAAATCCGTTTGGGGAGCACGTTTCTTGTTGATCAACTTTGTGGATCTTCGATTTGATGTAAGGGGACTCTACCCTATCTCATTTTGCTAGATATTCGTTTATTTTGCTATGTGTGGCAATATAATTGAAAAAGGAGGTAGAAACATGTGTGTTGATAGATATTTTGTACTTGATATGAGGTATTCCATGTTAGTGAATATTGGGTGTGATGAGGTGGTTTGATTGTGGTAGAATTCGTGTGAAAATCTGATGATTGTGTGTAATGTGATTGAGAATGTGGGTGAAATGTGTGTAGATGTACTATTGATTGATGTTGTACAATATAAGATGATGGAAAGTGCTTGTGATGGCATGTTGAATGTAATTGTGGTTGTGCTTGAATATGTTGGAATGTCATGAATGGTTCAGCGATACACTAGGAATGTAAAAGATGAGGCAGTAGAAATACCTTGGGGAAGAGAGGGTGGTGATGACACCAACAGTGAGTGTGGGTACACCATAAGTCACACACTCTCCTCCTGACTCGGCCTCTGACTAACACCTTTGCCTGAGGGCTCAATACCGCATACGTTGTATCCGTGAAGCGGGAGCTATCCGATGATCATCCATGGTGTAAACTGAGTAAGCCCCTGAGGTTGAGGGCATAAGAGAAACTGTTATCACAATACAACAGTGAGCGTGACTATGTGCAGTGAGTGCACGTGTGTGAATGTGTGGGTTGTTGATAGTGCAGTGAGCGCACCTGTTTGTGACTGAGAATGAAATGTCTTTGTACTTGTTAATGTATGATTTAAAATATATTAAAAAATGTGTGAAATAGGTAAAGTGAGACTTTATGCTTTTTGATGTGTATGTGATAATATAGAGTATTTACCCTTACATTTATTTTTTAGGTGACCAAGACGATCATCACCGGGTCCAATGAAAGATGGATGAAACTGCTAGGGTTTAGAAATTTATTTTAAAAATTTGATGTATTAATTAAGTCCTATAACAATTATTGATACAAATTTGTAATTCATCCCTATTTTGAAATATTTTATTGAACTGTGCTTTGGAAACCATCTAAATGAAAAATTTTATTATTCCTAATTTTGTGAAATTTATTTATTTAGAAAATTAAATTAAGGTGTTACAGTTTCACTTGCCTATAAATACGTGAAAGCCTCACTTTTCAGGGAACGACTTTTTGCACCTAGACACTACACCCAAATTTTTTGCACGCTGAAACCCTGCACCACGTCAGGCACCTGTTATGAGGAGACTTACAGTGGTCGTTGTTCGTTGTTGCAATGAGTCATACGTTTATTTTTCTTGCATTATTTACATTCCTGTATTCACTTTTAGTTTGTTTTGCTTTGCTTTCTACCCTTGCAATTTAGTTCTTATTTAAACACGTTTCTGTAAAAAAATTTACGTTTTGATTCAATTCTACATTATCATTGTTCATTATTCTTGTTTAACAATCTGCTTTACGACGTCCATTTTAATCATAACATACTTAAAAGAACCCAAGAGGATCTAAAATTCAGTATCCAAAGAAATATATGAAATAATTTTTTTTTATAAATTAAAACTAACTTGTGCACTTTAATTTTTTTAAAATTAAATAAAAAGTCTTTTTAAGAAGTAGAAGAATTATATGTGATTTTAATTTATGAAAGAGAATAATTAACTTTATTTTCTTATTTTTCCTTTTATATGTATTTACTCTAAAGACTTCAATAACTAAAATTGTTGAGTTAAGAGTATAAAGTAAAAAAAAAGGTCCAACATTGTCTAATACTGAAAAAAGGTGGCTAATATATAAGGAGTGGTGTCCTATGTGCTTTGCTTATGCCTTTAAAAAATAAACTTAAAAAACTAACACCAACCTTCTTAAACCAGTTGATATTATAAAATTGATAGGAATGGATATTTTACCTCCAAGATGTCCCCAACGTTAACAACAAAGGCATTAGGCATGGGCATAATTGGAACCCATGCCTCATCTTTCCTTATCTGTAACCCTTCTACATCATTGACTTGTAAGAGAATAGTGAGTCCAACCGGATCTGAATGATTTGTGAGGCCAATAACTTTGTCGGGTTGTGGACATGGAGGGTAATAGTTCATCCTCATCATCTGTAACCCATCTTCAAACAACTCCATTATTTCCATTTCTTCAATTCTCAATGCTTTTCTTATATGGGCAATAATAACCATAGCTATATTTTTCATGTTCCATAAGTAAATCTCTAGTGTGTCTCTGCGTGACAAAGAAGAATCAATAAGCATGAAGCTCTTCGAGATATGGGCATGCAGGTACAAGAGTAGTGGTGAGAATTCAATTTTCAATTCACTGTTTAATGTACTTTAATTATCAGTTAAAATTTATTAAAAAATATAAGTGAGATTAGTTAAATTACAAGTGAGACTTATATAATATTATAATTTCTAACGAGTTTTAATTAATAATAAAGTGTGCTGTGTTTTACTAATATTTCTCATAGATATAAACACATATATGTGACCATATAAGAACAAAACCTGAAAGGAAGAGGGAGCTGTGGAAATAAGTGGGGCATTCTTGAGTGTGTTGGAAGGGTTGTCATGTAGAACAGGTCACCCCAATCAAGCTTTTGGTCTGCACTGATAACAAATGCTTGTCCAAACCCCTCCATATGCTGTGGAGATTGCCATAACTTTCTCTTCTCTGACATTGGAAGGTTGAAGAAATCCTGCATCTCTAACTTTACTTTCTCCAGCAAGGAGAAGCTTAGTCCATGGTTTATTAGCTACAAAATGATATTAAAATTCAAATCAACAGACCCATGTGTTGTAAAGGAATTGAAGGAAAAATATAAGAGACCTGGAAGAATCCCCATTCTTTGCAAGCGAAGTGAAGCTTATCCAATTCTGAACTTCCAGATTCTAAAGAAAGCAAGTTTTGCATGTCAATAACTGGAATCTGAAGGCCACTATTAACTTCTTTAGATATGACCACCATGTCTTCATGTTGAGGCTGAACGTATCTTTGTGGAACCTCAGATATCCTCTCTTTAACCAATTCTTGAACTGATGGTACCAAAAGAGAAGTCCCTGATGGGTTAAAGAACTCTTCCATGGCCTTCGCCTCAAACACTCCTCTAGTGTTAATCCTCTGTCATGCTAAGTTTTTTGTGTCGGGATATTTAAGTGAGAAATAAGGATAAAATCAGTTTTATATATTTATAGTATTGCATATAATATTAATTTTTAATAATTCAAATAATAAATCTAAATTGGCATGAAATATCTTTCATGTTTACCACCCAATTTAGAATGATAATATTTGTTGGCTTACTATTTCGCATTTTGGCATGTAGCCCATGTCTCAACTTGATCATCACTTATTATTGAATAAATTTTTAAAAAATGACTTATGTTTTAAATTTAAGACTAAAATATATTAAAATAAATTAAAAATAGTTTATTTTTCATGTTGTTTATATTAAAATAGTGCAACTAAGAGTATCAATGAATTAAGCTGAATAAACGTGCAAATTTAATTTATTTATTTAAACAAGTCAGATTTAATATTTGAGTTTAATTTGATTAATAATTTCGTACTTTAGAATTGACTAATTAGTTTATTTATAATTTATTTATTTTAATGATTTTTAAATACTTTTTTTATTAATTTAATATTTACTAATAAAATATAATTTTATTTCCATAAAAATAATTTTTTTTATTTGTGATCAAGATGATGGATGTTTCTTAGCATGCAAATGAATTGATGGGACTACGCCAACCCTCACAATGACATCAAACTCTTGCCACCAAACTTTTCTCTGCTACAATATGATGTGGCTTAAATTACAGGCAGAGCAACGTCCTCACCCTAAAAGCCACTTTCTAGTGTATGAACAAATACAATAACGACAATGGAAAGAGCAGTGGATTGCATTACACGGGGTAGCTTTTGAAAAACGTCTTCAAGTTCTAGCGAAAAATGTTTTTTTTTCTTATAAATTTAAATTTACTTAAAAATAGAAAGAACTGAATGTATAATTTTTTATAAACTTGAGAATATTTTTTTTATTTAATACTATTTTAACATTAATGAATTCATTTATTTTAATAATTAATTTTAAAAATATTTTATCAAGTATATATATATTTTTTAAAATTGAATTATTCTGGTATAAAAAACTCAAATTTTCAAACTTGTATAATTGTCAGTGTCTTGATCACAATTCAGAAATCAGTCTCAATCACAAGGAACCCACGATGTGCAGATGGTGGTCAGGCAAGAGATGGGGGTCATGCATGAGGCGATGAATATGAAATTATTATGTGGTCATATGTGTAACTTTTTTATGCCACCGCAAAAAGAAAATATTATGATATTTATAGCATTTTCTTTATCTCTTTTATATTTTATTTATTTCTTCAAAACTTTTTTTTTTTGCTTTTAATGGATTTTGTATAGTACCATAGTTTCATAAGTAAATAATGGAGGAGAAATTATTAAAAATATATTTGGTACGGTTTTTAATTAAAAACTTATTTTTACAAGTTAAAAATTTCATTTAAAAACATTAATTTTTTAATAAAGTAGTTACTAATTAATAAAGATAATTTTTAGTAACTAGTTGAAAATTTTTATCGCTTTTATTCTTTGAAAATTTTTATCGCTTTTATTCTCATTTTTTAAAAATTTCTCTTCTGTGCCCGTTTATTTTTAGAAATATCATATCTCTTTCATTCTTAATTTTTATTCCTCTTTTATTTAATTTTCAGTAAATATTTGAACTTTTTTTTTATTTCTCTTTTACCCATATAATTTTAGAAATATTATATCTCTTTCTATATCATGTTAAATGCCTAAAACATTGTTAATTGAAAAAAAAATTATTTAAAATTATAAAAGCTAATTACTAATTATTATTTTCCATTGATCAACTAATTTAACATTTAATTTTATTAAACACTTTTAATTCAATATAGTAACTTTCAAAACTTGAAACTTGTAACACATCGTACTAATGCATGAAGACGATAAAGAAATGCAACCATATGTTAGAGTTAATATGATATATATATATATATATATATATATGACAGACGTAACCTGTTACAATTGTGGAAAATCTGGCCATATCAGCAAATACTGTAGGCTAAAGAAGAAAATTAGCAGTTTTAATCTTGAGCCTTCCATAGAAGACCAAATTAACAATCTCCTTATTGAATCCTCCGATGAAGATTTTGTTAAAGAATCTGAGGAAAATGTCAATCAAATACAAAACGATGATCAAGTTTCCTCTTCTGACAGTGATGATATTCCAGAAGTCAATATTTTGACAAAAGAACAAGATCTTCTTTTTGAAGCAATAAATTATATTTCTGATCCCCAAGAAAGAAAAGAATTTTTAAATAAATTCAAAGAGGTTTTAGAAAATAGACCTAAGCCTAAAGAGTATTTTATCACAAATAAATTTGATATTACAAATATTTTCAAAAGATTAGAAAAGAATTCTAACATTAAGCCTACCACTATTCAAGATCTCCAGATTGAGATTAACAATCTCAAGAAAGAGATCAGGGAAATCAAAGATCAACAACAAATTCATCAAGTTATTCTTTCCCAATTAGATGATGAATCTGATATTGAGAAAGAAGAACTTCCTGAAGATAATGATTCTATGAAGGTCGATTCTGGTAATCTAGAAGAAACCTTTATGTGTTTGATCAACAAGGTCAAAATACAAAAATTTTACATTAATATCAGAATCGTTATTGATGATTTTGTTCTTGAAACTCTTGCGCTCTTTGATACAGGTGCTGATTCAAACTATATTTTAGAAGGATTAATTCCTACAAAATATTTTGAAAAAACTTCTGAAAAACTCATCACTGCTAGTGGTTCAAAGCTTAAAATTAATTACAAGCTTTCTAAAGCTGTGATTGAAAATCAAGGACTCAAGATTGAAACAAACTTTCTCCTTGTAAAAAATTTAAAAAATGAAGTTATTTTAGGAACACCATTTATAAAAGCCATCTTCCTCCTACAAATTTCGAAAGATGGTATTTCCACTTATCATTTAGGGAAGCAAATAATTTTCAAATTTTTCAACAAACCATTTACAAAAAATATCAACGCCATTCAAAATAAAATCAACTAAATTAATTTTCTGAAAGAAGAAGTTTCTTTTGCCAACATTGAAAAACAATTATAGAATCCTTCACTTCAGAAGAAAATCCAATCCATTTTAGGAAGTATCCAATCCTCCATATGTTCTGACCTACCTAGCGCCTTCTGGAGTAGAAAAAAATATATTGTTAGCCTTCCTTATGAGTCAGGTTTTAAGGATAGCCAGATTCCCACTAAGGCCAGACCTATCCAGATGAATGAACAACTCCTTCATTATTGTCAGAAAGAGATTAAAGATCTCTTAGACAAAAATCTCATTAGAAAAAGTAAGAGTCATTGGTCGTGTTCTGCCTTTTATGTTAATAAACCGGCAGAAATTGAGAGAGGCACTCCCAAGCTTGTCATCAATTACAAACCTCTTAACCAAGCCCTTCAATGGATTAGGCATCCTATCCCCAACAAAAAAGACCTTCTTAACAGATTAAACTCTGCTAAGATCTTTTCAAAATTTGATATGAAATCTGGATTTTGGCAAATCCAAATTTGTGAAAATGATAGGTACAAGACTGTCTTTACTGTCCCCTTTGGGCATTACGAATGGAATGTTATGTCGTTTGGTTTAAAAAATGCTCCTTCTGAATTTCAGAAAATTATGAATGACATTTTTAATCCTTATTCAAAATTTGTCATTGTTTATATCGATGATGTTTTAATTTTTTTCCAATCCATTGATCAACATTTCAAACACATAAATGTTTTCATCAATGTCATCAAATAGAACGGACTTGCTGCTTCCAAGACAAAAATTAATCTCTTTCAAACCAATATTAGATTCCTTGGTCACAATATCCACCAGGGAACCATCATTCCTATCAGCAGGTCTATTGAATTTGCTAATAAATTTCCAGATAGAGTCCTAGATAAAACCCAATTACAAAGGTTTTTAGGATGTCTCAATTATGTAGGTGATTTTATTCCTCACCTAAACAATATCATCAAACCTTTACATGATAAGCTTAAGAAAAATCCTCCTTCTTGGACTGATGTTCATACCAATGTCGTCAAAGAAATCAAAAATAGAGTCAGGAAGATAAATTGCTTATATCTTTCCATTCCTCAAGCTTTTAAAATTGTTGAAACTGATGCCTCAGACATAGGTTACGGGGGTATCCTCAAACAGAGAATTGAGTCACATGAGCATATCATTGCATATACTTCAAAACATTGGAATTCTGCACAACAGAATTACTCTATTGTTAAAAAGGAAGTTTTGGCAATTGTTTTATGTGTTTCAAAATTTTAATCTGATTTACTAAACCAAAAATTTCTTATTATAGTAGACTGTAAATCTGCTAAAGAAATTTTACAAAAGGATGTAAAAAACCTTGCCTCAAAACAAATCTTTGCTAGATGGCAAACAATTTTAAGTGTTTTTGATTTTGATATTGAATATCTCAAAGGCACTTCAAATTCTCTTCCTGACTACCTTACCCGTGAATATTTACAGGATAAGTAAGATGCCTAGAAAGGCAACTACCCCTTCCAAGGGAGGGACATCTAGAGGCGGCAGAGTCAGGCTGGCCCTGACTTTAAACAAATCAAAACCACAATATGCTTTGGCAGATTCAAAATCCTCTTCTTCTGGGTCATCCACCCCCATTGAGTCATCGACTCAGAAAGCAATCCAAATTGTTGAGTCATCGACACAGCAATCTGGAACTCCAAAAGAATCTTCCAAAAAGACTGATTCTTCTTTTAAAACTACAAAACAAACCAAAGCAGAATATGCTCTCCCAATAAGCACACTCTTAGCTGTCCAACAAGGAAGCCTAACTAGCCTACCAAAAAAATATGGGTTGACATTGCCTCTGAAGAAAACATGGAAATAGATTTAACAAGTCTAAACACCATACTCCAGTCAACCATTATGTGGCCAAAGGGAAATTTTCCTCAGTTATACAAATGGAACCTGAATTTTGGGACAAAAACCCAAACAAAGCTATTACCAAAGTCTTCCCACCTGGATTTCATTTTAGACCTTATGCGGCAAATAAAAC